AAATCGCACAGCACGCGCGTGCAAACCACTGCCGTCATTTTTGACGGTTTAGGGGGTTTCGTGCATGTAAAAGTATATTACAAGGGGGTATGGCGCAATTTTTAAAATACATGGGGAAAACGCGCAGATTTCGTATAATACAGGGGAGTTTGGCGCAATTTACCCCTAATAGGAAGGAGTTGAAAATATTAGTTTGTGGGGACAATGAGTTACCCAGTAATCAAACTAATAACGTTGTATATAAGGAGATTTTTAATAATGTATAACTTTTTACAAATGACGATTTTATGTTTACTTTATGAATGTCATACATATTATAATAACTTACTAATTAATGATCTTTTAATTTTTTAAAATATTTCAAAACATGTACTAGCTCGTGCATCGCACGGGTTACATACTAGTATATATAAAAAGCCATCCTATTTACCAAAAATGGTAGCAAAAATATAGGTTAACATTTAATACAACTTATAAATAGTAAGTGTCATTAATTTAATGTTATTTTCTTTAAAAATCATACAACATTAAATGTTACCTTAAATTTCGGGTTTTAATTTTTATTATTTGAAAAATCTAGATAAGTTCTTTTAAGTGTGCATGTTATTTTATTTTATTTTGTTTTTTTAGAAGCAAGGAACAACATTAAAATTCCGGTCTCTATATTTATAAAATTTCAATTCAAAATACAACAGATGTTTTAGAATCTCGGTCTTTATATTTGTGTCTTTCAAACAAATATTGAACGCTAAAAATATTCTTTAAACTGATAATCAATCAATCAGTACTAATTTTTTGAAAATCACTATGTTTAATTTTTTATTAATATGCATAATAAAAATAATTAATTCATCTTTAGATATATAATTTATATCTTAATATACTATCATTTAGTGTAGACATTTATTATATGAATCATAAAATATTTTTATTTCATAAAATTAAATATATTTACAGGAAATAATGAAATTTTTTGGATGAATCGGGTGATTGAATTAGGGTATTGCCCAGGTTGATTGAATTACTTTTAGGTGATATTTAAAATATCGATCCTACCAGTTCAATCGACTGGTGTTGACGGATTCAATAGCAAATATTGTATTCAAACAAACTATATACCGGTTCTAAGTCCATTTGATCGGACTGTGTCCAACCCCGTTTAATTTGAAACAGTGAGTAGATCATGATCGATGTTATTTATATATTAAATTTATAATATAATCGTAATATTGTTTTCCCGTGCATCGCACGGGCTACGCACTAGTAAATATTGATAATCCTTCCTTATTCCTCCCTATATATTAATTCAAAATGTGTTAAGCCTAAGTGTCAGACTCTTACGTTTCGGATCCTGATATGGCGGAAATCTATACTTTGTGATATTGTTTTTATATTATTTTTGCTCTGGAGTTAAGTTAGATATTCGACATAAATAACTTTACACATATATTCATTAACTCAACACTCATGTTGTACATGGGAATTAATACTATTTTATGATAAATACTAATAATTTACGTCTTATTCCGTAGTCAAGCATGTATACAGTACGGATATGAACACGTCATTACATTTTTTTTTTTTTTATGTTTGAGATACTTATAAAATAAAATTAGGAATGTACCAATCCTTTATCAATTTATATTTCTTTTAGATCTACTTTTCGTACACCATTTGATTCGTATTAATCAGCTCATTTAAATACAACTATCGAAACAGTATGAAACTGTACAATAATGTGGGTCCAGTTTATATATTTAATTATCTACCAAATAAATATTATTGAAATTAAAAGGCAATCCCTCATCATATATATATATATGAAATATGATTATTAAGTATAATCAAATAATTACATTTACAACTACAAAATAAATACAAAACAACATAATTAGTAATTCCCTAATATCTATAAATTATCCCAAACTTATATTTCATTTTTCGGCTTCTTCTCTTTTTTTTTTTTTTTTTTTTT